AACACACAACACACACACCCAACACTTCTGTAATTCCTCTGTATTACTATTAATATTCAGCAAGTACCTACAATCTCACAAGATGTACCAAGTACAAGCAAAATGAACAGTGAATGACAATAAGTCAGATTAACCAAAGAACAAATTAAAGAAAAGAAATCACTAAGGACAACCAGCTGGCTTCGAGGGTCAGTACCTCCCCAACCCAATTCCCCTTTACTTTTTCAATCCCACAAATGTTCTCTGTCAACCCTTTTTACGCACAACTCTCACTCTAATAGAATTATTCTAAACCCAATCCAAGGATGCCACCTGTCCCATGGTTATTGCATAGAAAAAGTGCCATTTTATCCTTTATTCCCTCTCTTATTCCTTCTGCTGAAGACGTGCACTAGCGGGGTCTCATCATTACCCTCCCCAAGGAGAGCCACCTTGTCCCCAAGGTGGAATAAAGGAAATTCGCTGTCAATGGAGGTGAATTCCTCCCATGTGTTCTCATATGTGGGCAAGCCTTTCCATTTGATTAAGACTTCCAAAGTACCATTCAAAAGTTTTCGTGTGCGTAAAACCTCCTCTAGTTCGACTTGTAACACAAGATCTTCGTCCAACACTGCTGGAAAAGGTTGGGCGGTGGGCACTTTGTTTTCTTGAGTTGTGACACATGAAAAACATCATGAATGCGTGCCGAAGGGGGCAGATTCAAACCATAGGCCACTGATCCAATCTTTTCTTTAACTTCAAAAGGGCAATAAAAGCGAGGGCTGAGTTTCTCATTGTACCGACGAGCTAAAGAACGAAGGCGGTAGGGTTGCAACTTAAGGTAAACTGAATCTCCCACTTCCAGTTTAACTTCCCTTCTCTTTGCATTGGCATAGTGTTTCATTCGGGTCTGAGCCTTCGGGAGATTCTCCTATAACTCAGCTAAGATGACATTGCGAGATTGCAATTGACAGTTCACTTCATCGACAGGTGACCCAATATCCGAAAATTTAAGAAAAGTGGGAGGATCGCGACCATAAAGTGCTTTAAAAGGGGTCATACTTGTGGAGCCATTGAATGTCGTATTAAACCAAAACTCGGCCCAAGAGATCCATTTAGGCCATTGGCGAGGCTGACTACCCACAAAACAACGAAGATACGTCTCAACACATCGATTCACCACTTCGGATTGGCCATCTGTTTGAGGATGGTAGGTCGAACTCATGCGAAGCTGTGTGCTCGAATGTTTAAACAATTCCTTCCAAAAGTGATTAATGAAAATCCGGTCGAGGTCGGATACAATCGATCGGGGAAACCCATGTACCGAACAATCTCCTAAATGAAAAGGTTGGCAACATCTATGGCCGTGCAGGGATGCTTAAGAGTCAAGAAGTGGCTGTACTTAGTCAATCGATCAACAACTACCAGGATGGTATCGACACTATTTGCTTTCGGAAGCCCGATGATGAAGTCCATAGAGATGTCTTCCCACACTTTATCAGGAATAGATAGAGGCTGCAATAAACCGGCGGGACTCAAGGCCTGGTACTTATTTTGTTGACAAACTGAACAAGAGTCGACAGACTCTTTGATATCCCATTTCATGCCCTCCCAATACACTTACACTGCTGAGCCTTTTAAAAGTGCGAAAGAAACCTGAGTGGCCCCCAATAGGAGACGAGTGAAACTCATGTCGAAGTAGTGGAATGTGGGCCCTTTTCTTTGGTACAACAAGTCGGCCATTACACAAGAGATGGTTGCCAACTAATGTAAATGGTGGATGGCCATTGGGATCCAGAAACAACTTTTGAACAATCCCACGCAATTTGTCATCTTGTTGAATAGCATTCTCCAATTCTTCAATCCCTGCAAAATAGCTCACAGACAGCCCATTAAATTCAACCTGTTCACTTCTTCTAGATAACGCATTAGCTACCTAATTCTCTGCCCCCGATTTATACTGGATAATAAAGTTCAAACCGATCAATTTAGTAAACCATTTCTTTTGATCTTCACTCAATAACCGCTGATCCGTTAGGAAATGTAGACTCTGTTGGTCTGTCCTAATAATGAATCGCCGTCCCAATAAATAATGTCGCCACTTCTGAACCGCCATCACAATAGCCATTAATTCACGCTCATAAACTGATTTAAGCTTCGACTGCGCGGATAACCCTTTGCTCAAAAAAGCTAACGGTCTACCCTCCTGCATCAGAACAACCCCTAACCCACTCCTTGAGGCATCCGTCTTAATGATAAAGTCCTTAGCAAATCCGGCATAACCAACACCGGAATCGATGTCATTATTCTCTTAAGCTCATCAAAGGCTTTTTGGGCTTCAGAATTCCATTGAAATGCATCCTTCTTAAGTAAACTGGTGAGAGGATTGGCTACTTTCCTGTAATCCTTGACAAACCTTCGGTAGTATCCGATCAAACCAAGAAATCCCCATAATGCCCTGATATCCTTGGGGACTGGCTACTACAAAACACTGTCGATTTTTGAAGAATCAACCGCTGCCCCACCTGCCGAGATGACATGCCCCAGGTATTCTAATTCCTGCTGGCCGAAGAAACACTTCTTCCTATTAGCAACCAGTTGCTGTTCTTCAAGTGTGCTAAGGGTGATCTCCAAATGCTGAACGTGATCCTCTTTTGTATGGCTGTAAACCAATATGTCATCAAAGAAAACCAAAATGAACCGACGCAGAAAGGGCCGAAATATGTCATTCATCAAAGCTTGGAAAGTGGCTGGGGCATTAGTCAAACCAAAGGGCATGACTAAAAACTCATAATGCTCTTCGTGGGTCCTAAATGTCGTTTTGTGGGTATCCTCATCCTTTACTCGAATATGATGGTAGCCCGATTTCAAATCTAGTTTAGAAAAAATTGAAGCTCCTCCTAATTCATCAAACAATTCGTCCACCATTGGAATGGGAAACTTATCCGGAACCGTTATCTTATTAAAGGCCCTATAATCAACACAGAATCGCTATCCGCCGTCTTTCTTTTTCACCAATAACACTGGGCTGGAAAAGGGACTAAGGCTGGGTTTAATGATTCCAGCAGCTAACATCTCGCCCACCAGTTTTTCTATTTCATTTATTTGGTAGTAGGGATAGCGGTAGGGCCTGATGTTTGGGGGTTAGGAACCGGGGTTAAGGTTAATGGAGTGATCTTGGGTTCTAGGCGACGGTAATCCTGGTAGTGAAGTGAAGACTGACTAATACCGGTTCAGAACTGATAAGATGCTACTGTCCCCTTCAATTTCTGATTCCCCTTGCTTCTGTAAATTACCAAACTCAACAAAATACCCATGTCCCTCGCGCTAGATTGTCCGAAGCATAGCTTTTAAGGAAATTAGAGTTTTGCTCAAAGCAGGGTCACCCAAAATCTTCACGACTCTGTCTCCTAGCTTGAACTTCATCACCTGTGTTTTCCAATCAACTGTTGTCTCCCCCAAAGTTTCCAACCACACAACACCCAGAACCACATCCGCACTATTCATCTCAAATGGGAAAAAATTTTGTATAATCGAAATTCGTTGGATATTCAACTGTACCTCCCTACATTCTCCCTCACACCTCACTTGATAACCGTCACCCACTCACACCCCGAAGGTCTGCGTCTGCATACTGGTAATCCCAACTTCTCGGTCACACCTTTGTTAATAAAATTGTGCGATGCTCCACTGTCAATCAACACTATCACTTCAGCCCCTCTGATTTTACCCTTTTACCTTCATAGTTTTTGGACCCGAAATACCACCAAACCTTTACCTTCATAGTTTTTGGACCCGAAATACCACCAAACTAATCGAGAGCTCCGCGTCATTTGGTAGCAGTTCATCTACGGGTTCAATCGGCTCCCCCCCACCATCGTTTGTCTCGTCGTGAATCTCTTCCTCATCAATCAAAATGACGTGGAACTGCTTGTCCCCACACCGATGGCCTGGAAAAAATTTAGTGTCACACCGGAAACAAACCCCACGCGCTTTCTTCCTCTGAATCTCAAGTTCTGTCATTTGTTTGAAAGGAAATTCTCTCCTGAAAACTGAATTGCTTGGTGGGCGTTGGACGGAGCTGCTGCTGCTGCCACGTTGACTGTCGATCGGAGTAACATGGCTGTGTCGTTCGTTCCAATTCCGCCCTGTCTATGCAGAGAAATTTGGATTTTGGGTTGAGTTTGAATTCACGTTACCTGAAGGCACCATCAGGTTAGATGTGTGTGAAAATTTTGACCCATTTTCTTGCTGCCCCAAGTTCTTACCCGGTCCACCACTATAAGCCCAAGTCATCCTATTAATTCCACTACTCATTCCAGGCCTTACACCCTTGCTTAACCCATTTTTTAATTCTTCCAAGGCCCAATTTTTCTCTTCTATCTTCTAGGCCAATTCAATTAGCTGAATTAGGGAAGTGGGCTGGCCCAATCTGACTTCAGCTTTTATCTCTGGTTTGAGTCCATTTAAGAAAGTAGCCTATAGCAAGTCTTCCTTCTCATCTCTCAATGGCGCAGATAGAGCTTCAAATTTGCGACGGTAGTCTTCCACGGACCCAGTCTGCCAAATTCCCATCAGTGCCTCATACAGACCACCCTCTTGGGAACCACCGAACCGATAGAGCAGGGAGAGTTTAAACGCCGGCCAAGATGTGAATGGAGCATGGATTTCCATCCATTGAAACCAGTTTATCGCGTCTCCCTCCATACACACAGCCACCGTGTTCAACCTTTCCTCCTCTGCCACATGATACACATTGAAGTATCGCTCGATTCTAAACAACCACTTGTAAGGATCCTCATCGGCGAATACTGGCATCTCGATTTTCTGGCCAGCATATTCTGGTCGACCTTGACCAGATGTTGTGTTTTCGTCGTTCGTATTTGTGTTAGGGTCCCCATTCTCCTCTTCCATGATTGAATTAGGATTCGCCGGGGTTTCTGTCGAACCACCCCTTTCAGCTCTTCTAGCTTCTTCCTCATCCTTGCGTCTAATCCAAGCTTGGATTTCCAGCAAACAATCTCTCATCGTTCCCATGTCTTTCTCCACAACATCTAATCTGTTTTCCATCCTTGCTCCAACCATTCCCCAATCGTCACTACGCTCTGATACCAACTTGTTAGAACCCTTCTTTTATCTCCATCTGCAGAAAACACTCATGCACTAAAATTTCCAGAATTCACAATCACTGCCACAACACACAAGCATACTCAACCAAACATTCTGTAATTCCTCTGTATTACTATTAATATTCAGCAAGTACCAGTACAATCTCACAAGATACTCCAAGTAAAAGCAGAAAAATGAATAGTGAATGACAATAAACAGATTAACCAAAGAACAAATTAAAGAAAAGAAATCACTAAGGACAACCAGTTGGCTTCGAGGGCCAGTACCTCCCCAACCCAATTCCCCTTTACTTTTTCAATCCCACAAATGTTCTCTGTCAACCCTTTTTACGCACAACTCTCACTCTAACAGAATTATTCTAAACCCAATCCAAGGATGCCACCTGTCCCATGCTTATTGCATAGAAAAAGTGCCATTTTATCCTCTATTCCCTCTCTTATTCCTTCTGCTGAAGACGTGCACCAGCGGGGTCTCATCACCTTCCAACAAACTCACGAAATTGATAAATCATCATTTCATACAAACAACCTAAATTTTAACGTTCTTTATTGTTTTGTACAAACAGCCTCATAGATTTATCTCCTTATATCAATTTACCACCTTCCAACAAAATTGATGTATATCAATAGCCTCAAACTTTCATCAAATAATTCTATAATCTTAGTTACTCATAGAACCACCATTCCTCAGTGCCAAACTGAAACTAACAATGACAGATTTCATACTATTTAAACTCAACTTAATACTTGTGTAGTGAGAATGAAAGATGGAAATTCTATAACTTGCTAGCTCATAAAACCAAACAATCTCCAACACAAATGTTAGACCCCCTACTTAAACTTTAATTAGCACAAGTGTTTACCTCCAAAAAATGAAAAAAAAAAAAAAAAAAAAAAAAAAGTACTATAAAAAGATAAAAGAAATAAAGAACACACCGGAGAAGGAAAAACTCTGCCTCCTGTAGATGGATCCAGGAAGGCAGTGAGGTCAACCATGTCTTCTACATTTAAGTTAATGCCAATCTCTTCTTCAACCTGAAAACATGTCAAATGTTAATCATATGCTACGAACATTGAAATCTGATTAATTAATTCAAAGACTATAAAAACTCACCATTTTCAGTCAATTAGTATGGTCAATAGATTAAACTGGAATGCCAAAACAATTAATTAGGCATTTCCACAATTAAAACTTGATGAAGAAAGATGGATATCACAGATTCTTTACAGAAAGGATGAGTAGCCAGTTTAAGCCAAGGCATCAAGTGATGGACATTGATGGTTGAATGTGAAAGAGCATATCAATAAATACAGAGACGAAGTCCAAAATGACAATCTAGCAGCAGCTAAAATTGAAATTGGAATGAAAAATGAAGATGTTGCTAAATTGTTTTTTGAAGCATAAACATGCACCCAAACAATGAATCCCCAAACATTTTCATGCACTCAAACAAATAATGCATTTATGCTCAGATAGAGATTGAGAGTAGAGACAGACAGAAACCTCACGAACTGCTGTGCCAACAAAATTACCCTTGTCATCATCCAGCATCCCAGCAGGCAATTCCAAAATTAGACGCCCAGTGGGAACCCTAACCTTAGACACACATGGCACTGTATCAAGAATTAAATGAAGCAGCAGTATAAAAGCAGACATCTTTTTTACTCAAATTTTTAACTATTTGTATAATGCTTGATTAGTTATTCCAAAAATTCAAGCATAATAAGAGCACATGAATACAAAAAATACAAAAATATTACCTGTTCAGTAAGAATAGCATAAGTCTCACCTTCTGAGTCCAAAAGAATCAGCACTGCTACAGCTGGTCCTCGTGCGAATACTATACCTGGAACCTAAGCATTTATTAGCTCACTGAATATAGGAACTACAATTTTAGCAGGAAGACTACCACAAGCTTGAGAATGGGTTATACAGTCAATAGGGCACACAAAGCCACTACTTTACAAAGCTCAAGAGAACCTAAACTAAGGAACGTACATAGTACATTTATGAGACAATTAATTAAGTGTTATCAAACATGATCCAAGTAAGTAGATTGTAATGGTTATTTACTCATAAGATTACACACGGAGATGATTAGACACCTTTTTTCCTGTCTCCTTATTGAAAATATCCGCCTTAAATTTCAGAAAACCAATGCGCTTCGCAAACATATCCACTCCCTGCCACCAACAAGATGTCAATTTGAGAACTTACCCTTCAATCAAGTTTATTATCATTTTTCTTCCAATCAAAGTAGAAAGAAACTTTCAAATTGCGTTTGACAATTTAAGCGAAATGATATGTCAATATTGATTTCTCATTTTTAATCTAAAAATTAAAAAACAAAATCAATGATCTACAGAGAAATATGACGATTTTATAGCCACCAACAAGTCTTTTTCATGCTTTCATCCATCTATTTCCCTAAATTCTTTTCTCACTTAACTATCCAAACAAAAGAAATTTCAAAACGTATCTCCACTTTACTTCAATTTTTCCCAAATTTAAATCTTTGACAATGAGACTTATTATGCATTCCCGTTTCACAAAATGACCCGACAAACGAAAACTTCGTTTTAACCACCAAAATTGAAAATTTTAACAAAATGTGCTAAAAGTACATTCATCAGATTAAAAAAAAAAAAGAAAAAACCTGAATGAGAACTTGTTTTAGAAGCATATCACCACTGGCTAAAATCCCAGTTTGGCCTTGCAAGTTCTTCAACCATTGATTCAACAAACTTGACTCTACAGCACTCCTGCAAAACCCACCAGATATATAAATAAAAATCTATATAAGAATTCTGTCTATGAATTTATGTGACTCACCTGAACTCGGCTTCAGAGAGGCCAGGGGCAGCGACAACGTGGACGGGTTGGCTGAGTTGACACGGGAGAACGATGGAATGAGTCAAAGGGGAAGGTGATGAGTTGGAGGACATGTTGGAACACAGTGTCCGTCTTGTTCTTGTTGAAGCTATTCTGTGAGTGTGAATAGCGCAGAGGAGAGTGAGTGAAGGCGAAACGACAAGTCGTTTGGGGATTGTGAAGATGAGCTGAGACATGGAGACTTCAGGGCATCTCCAACCCAGCCCTAAGCGCCACGCCACTGGTGTGGCATAGCGCCACTATTATTTTTTTTATTTTTTTTATTTTGTTAAGTTAATTTGAATATTAAATTTTACATCAAAAATCACACCAAATTTAATTATTTATATTTAATTTAATTTGATTATTATTTATAATATTAAATTTATAATAATTATATAATTTAAAAAATTATGAAAAATTAAAAATAAAACTTTATTCAATATAAATATTAAACTACAATAACTTAAAATAAAAATTAACACTAATTTAAAAACATTAGATCAAAAAGTTTGAATGAATAACACATCTTTTTGAGCTTGAATAAATAATATATCTTTTGAAATAAGCTATAAATCTAAAAATATCAGATTTCAAAATTTTCTTGTTCGACATAAACAAATCAAGGATACAGAGGCTCACCATGCTCTTCGAAATGCATTAAGTGATCATTTGTAGGAAGAAAATACTAATTCGGAAAATTAAATTACTATAAATATGAAATTTTACCTTTGTGTTGTTATTGTTTTTTTTTTTTTTTTGGTATCATTTTATATTAGATGTAATATTTTTCTATATTAAATGTAATGTTTATTTGATTAAATAAATGCTTAATTTTATTAAATTAGTATAATTTTTAAAATAATTATTATTTAATAAAAATATCATTCTCAATATTTAATTAATATATACAAAAATAATGAGTGAAATAGATTAATTGTTGATTATTACAATAAAAGAAAAAGAAAAAGAATATTTTAAAGAATATTTTAAGGAATATTCTTTTTAGTGTGATATTTGGTATAGTGGGTTGGAGATGGAATAGTATTTTACACCAAAATTTGCATCAATTTGGTGCAATGGGTTAGAGATGGTTTCCGAAAGATGGCTCCGATGGCGTGATGGGTGACATGTGTCCTGTTTAATGTTTATTTTTTTTTTTAAAAAATAAAACAAAAGCATGAATTAAAAAAAGAGTGGTTATATTTAGGACAGTTCAAATCTGGATATTTGATCCGAATGACCCTATTTCTGATTCGATCCAGATTTCAGATCAGAAAATATCCTAATTTGAATCCGATCCGAAATATGTGGATATCCGGTTTTCTGGATATCCAATTTTTCAGATCGGATAATTGGATATCTGAAATCGATCCGAATTTTAGAAAATGTTTATTAAAAATTTAAAATCAAATAATTCTTCTAATAAAATTGAAATTACAATGCATGATTATCAACAAATTAATCCACAAGTTGTTTAATGCCAACTTAACACAAAATCTATTACCCAAATTACAATTACAAATTTAATAAAAAGACAAACAAAACAACCAACTTAATACTAATACATTTTTTTTATCTTCATGCCAACTTCATCACACCAACTTCACTATATTTCCTTCCTGGACTGAATTGCGGGCAGGGTTCTTCATTCTCAAGTTAAAGCTTGCCTTTATGCTTCCAACCTGCAATTTACAAAAATACAAACTTTAAGTCTAGAATTTATGCTTCTTTAATTATTCATCCCTAAAATTTAATTTAGCCTACTAATAAAAAGACAACATTATGTTAGCAACCTCTAAAATGTCCAACCAATGTTAATAGATCTAAAACAACAAGTATATAATCAAAAAATTCATACTCATATATAAACACTTCTATTTTTCCAATCAAACAAACTAGCCCCACCAATTGGCTAGATTTTCCCACTTCAACAATCAACACATTACACAATATAACATCAAATAACTAGAAGGCAATCAACAACATTAACATAAAAACATTCTTTATTCAACATATATAATTAAATTGTATTTGGGGAAAAAAATCCTATTCTTGGTAAATGTAACGCCCAGCATAGAGGTACATGATTTAATTTATGTTTTTATAGCCCTTAGTTAATTTTTGTTAAAGTGATTTTAAGAGAATATGAAGAAAATGCCTTAAACTTGCATTAAGGATAAAATGGTTTTTTCACTCAAAATTAGTTGAAAAAGTGGGGAGTGAAAAGAGATAGAATTTCATAGAGAATGCATTAAAAATGAGAGCATTATGGTAATTGACTAACGGACATAGATGGAATTTCTAAGAAAGAGTAAGGGCAAAATGGGAAAGTGTGTTTATAAACTAAAGTGTTAAGGGTTTGAAACCCTTATTTTCTTCATTCCACCGCCACACTCCTCCCCCGTTTTCTCTCAAATTTTCATTCAATCCTCCAAGGATTTTGGGGGCTTTTGAGTGGTTTTTCATAGGGTTTTGATTTTAGGCTTCAAGAGGTAAGGATTCTTGCTCTTTATCTATGTTTTATTTGTGTAAAAGTTGAGTTCTTATAGAGTTTATGCTTAGGGTTAAGAGAAGATTTGAATCCAACAAGAGTAGAGAGCTTAGTAGAGACTACTCAAGCATAAGGTAAGTAAATTCCACTCAAAATCCAACTCAAGTTAAAGTTTAAGAAAATCAAGTGAGTAGAGATTTCTTTTAAATATGCATATGTTATGATTATTGAGAAATTGAGATGAGATGGATGATTAGTTATGCTTGTTGTTGGATATACTTGAATATGAGGAGTGTATGTGATGGTTTGATGATGGGTTGAAAATGGAAGAATTGGAGAAACTTTTGGGCGTGTTTTTGCCGTGTAGGTATGGTGATGTTACAAGAGAGTTTTTCTCTCAATTTGGATGGTTTAAGAAACAAATAGAATGATAATTACATTAGGATTTGTTTATGCACAAGTATTGTTTGATGAAATGCCTAAGAGAAGTATGAGTTAAGTAGAAACCTTAATTTTATGCAACACTGCATATGTGCATTTCATAAACGCATTTAAGTAAGAAATTTTAAGCATGAACCATCTATATGCATATAATTGTTTATGTGTAGAAACTTAAGAAAGAATAAAGAATAAAGAATAAAGAATAAAGAATAAAGAATAAAGAAAGAAAGAATAAAACATTTTAAGAATAAAGAGAATGAAAGAATAAGCATTAAAGAATTAAAGAAAGAAAAAGTGTTAAAGAATAGAAAAGAACAGGTTGGTGTGATGGGGAACCGTGAGTGTTAAGAAGAAATTCCCACATACACGTCACCTTAATTGAGTGGCATAAGAAGAAGAAGAATTGTACGACCTGTAAGAGTGTATGTGGATGAGGGTTGTACCGAGAAGAATTCTTACATGCACGTCACCTTACTTGAGTGGCCTAAGAAGAAAGAAGAATTTGTATGGTCCGCAAGAGTGCATGTAGATGAGGACTTTACTCACTCACACGACCAAGGTTCTGAATCCATACATCAACCGAGTTGGATTGGCAAATAATAAGAAAAGAAAAGAAAGAATAAGAAAGAATGAGAAAGCTTGACAAGCAAAGAAAAGAAAAGAAAAGAAAAGAAACAAGAAAGAAAAGAGAAGCTTGGGCAAGCAAGACAATAAGAGAAAAGAAAAGCATAGAAAGAAAAAGAAAAGAATAGAGAAGAAAAGAATAGAAAAGAAAAGAAATAGAAAAGAAATAGAAAGAAGAAATAAAATGCATTTTTATGCATTATTGCATATGCATTTCATTTATGCATATTCCCATGAATTTTCTTATGGTTAGAAAGAATAGAAGAGTAGCAAGAAGAGAAAGAATAGAAAGAGTAAGAAAGAAAGAACAGAAAGAAAGAAAGAAACAGAGAGAATTAGAAAGAAAGAAAAGAACAGTGAGAATTAGAAACAGAGAAAGAAAGAAGAAGAGAATTAAGTAAGGAAAGAATCAAAGAAGAAGAAAAGTTAAGGGATTTACTTACTGAGCATTTTTATGCTCACCCCGTTGTTTTTTCATGTTTTTGTAGGAAATAGGTGAGCAGCGGTCGGAAGGACATCGACAAGCGAAGAGAATTGGCATTACTGTCTACTGTTGCTAAGTTTTTGTACTTGTTATTTTGATATATATAAAGAATTATATTTTGTATGTAAAGAAAAATTTGGGCCCAACTATTTTCATATGCTAATTATATATGTTTTCATAGTATATGTTAGAAAATATACTATTAGAAAGAAGTCATTACAGTAAAACTAATTAAACAATAAAAATCAATATTCTACCTTTTGGGGGGCTACACCAATATAAGATGACATAGAAATGGTCTTAGTCAACAATCATCTGGATGAACACGAGAATTTTCTAGTGCCAAAGATGAAATCCCTACAAAAAGTTGGACAAAAACATAATATGAGTAATGATACCAAATATATTCAACACGAAAGATATAAGTTATAACTAAATATTAATTATTTGAAAATAAAGCAAAAGTTTTATTTGAATCAATTTCTGATAATTCATCCAAGCTCTTCTCATTGATGAACGGTGCACGCGTAGCCCGAATCCAATCTTGTGCACAAATAAGAGCCTCCACCGACTTAGGAGTAAGAGAACTACGAAATGAATCTAATATACGACCCCCAGTACTAAAAGCTGACTCCGATGCAACAGTAGAAACATGCATAGCCAAAACATCTCGTGCCATCAAAGAGAGAATTTGATATCTTGATGAATTCATCTTCCACCAAGTCAAGATATCAAAGTTCTCGTCTTCATCATCTTCACATTCTTCCTTTAAATATTTTTCTAACTCAGATTTAGGCTCCAAAGCATGTTATCCAACCTTTTGCTCTTTAAACATAGCCTTCATAGCGACTTGAAGAGCAACATTTGCATCAGTCAAATCAATATTTCTTGCAAGTTTAGTTTGCTGACTTGATTGCGCACTGGGAGAAGCCTTAGCCAAACTATATTCCTCAAATAGAGCAAACAAAGTGTCATGCACTTTTGTTTTCAGTTTACCAGCTTTATCATCATCAAATCATACGACTTATCAATAGCCCAATATACATATTCTAACTTTTTGCTGGGATCCAATACCACTGCAATGAATAACAGTATATTGATATTATCAACATTTCCCTAATATTTTTCATGTTTTCCTCTCATTTTTGCTGTCATCAAACGTAAGCTCGAATCATTACTTGTACACCATGTCAAAATCTTCA